CTATTCTCACAATCTTTACATGACCTGTTCCAGCATAAAAGACAAGTATGCAGAGAGCCGGGGATGTTAATCAAAACGAGGATCCGACTTCACAGGGTACCAGGGCCTCACAAGAACAAGGTATGGATAATTACAGTGCTATGAAAATATATGCAAGTATTTATAAACGTACGTGGTTTCTAAGGAAGATCAATATGGCAAGAATTCTGTTGCAAAATCAATATTGTTGTTGTAGAAATCAAAGTAAGCGAAAAGGGTAGATACACCCTGTCCGAGGAGTTCAGACAATTCCCATATGGATACGATAACGAGTGTCCTTGTGTATACGGATGTAATCAAGACTCTTATGTTTTTTATTTGAAATACTTGAATTGAAAATACTTTTGATAATGGTGTATATAAAGAGATTATCCTGAATCGACTATAGGATGATCTGTTTATGCTATACCAATCTTGGTCACATTAATCAAATGACCACAGTTCATGAAATGTCCAACTAACCGTGGAATCAGTTTAGACTATTCATGTCCAGTTTTGTTTCCATGGCCGTGTTCGGATTTTCCTGTTCTTTTAGATGTACATCCACATTTATTTTCTCGAATCGTTGGTTATTAACAAGGATACGTATGCTCCTTCCCTTCTTTAAACCATCAAACAGATCCCGATTGTCTGCGTTTTTCTCCATTGCCGTTTACAGTAATTATGCGAACGTTGCAAAAAAAGAACCAATATGCGAACTGCGATTATGACGTAGCGGGCAGATATTATATCTGCCCGCTCAGAGCGGGACGTAAAGCTATATCTGCCCGCTGATGAAAATATAAGTTTTTTACAAACCTGCTTTATGTACCTGTAACACGTCAAAGCATGGGATAAATAGAGATTATCCTATATGAGGTTCAGGATATTGGGATTATCCCGAGGCAAATATAATATATTTTCCCGAGGGCCGCAGGTCCCGAGGGAAAATATATTATATTGGCCGAGGGATAATCCCAATATCCTGAACCGACTTTAGGATAATATGTTTATGCCATACCAATTTTGGTCATCTGGTTAACATTGTTCAATCATGGAAATATTTTAGAATACTCATGTCCAGTTTTTTTTCTTGGCCGTGGGCGGATTCTCCTGTTCTCTCAAATATTCCCATATTTATTTTCTCTAATTTTTGATTGATTAAGTGGATGCTCCTTCCCTTTTTAAACCATCAAACAGATCCCGATAGTCTGTGTTTTCTGCATTGTCGTTTACAGTCATTACGCGAACGTTACAAAAAATTATGAACAAATATGCGAGCTGCGATTATGACGTAGCGGGCAGATATACTATATCTGCCCGCTCGGAGCGGGACGTAAAGCTATATCTGCCCGCTGATGAAAATATAAGTTTTTACAAACCGGCTTTATGTACCTGTAACACGTCCAAGTATGGGATAAATAACTTTATTTCCTATACCTGCACATTTCAAAAACATGTGGGGGGTTGTTTGCATCTTCCCTGTCTCAATGTCGAAATTATCCTATCGTCTCTCTAAGTGCTTTTCCCGGAGGTAATGCATTTGCCTAACATATACACTAGTTTAAATCCTCAGAAAATAGCCCAAATCCAACATATGACTTTCTGAAATCGGTTGCAATACTTTCCGTTCTCCTCTTCGACCTATTGTAGTGATTGGAAAAAGTTAAAAAAAGGTATTTGAAATGATGTTTTTGATAGTGGAATTATGTTTCCAGCCCTAAATAGTTTTTCTTTACAGATTATGCAAATAAGAATTCAAACATAAATATGCTTGACCTAGTACTACAATCGGGGAACAATTCTTCACTTTATATAATTCTAATTCCAAAATATTAAAAATATTTGTTGTATTGCCTATTCATTTTATTTCTATTCAATTTTAATCCAGGAAATAATTCAAATAGACTAGAAACCCAACAGTTCGACCAAGAAGATAATTCAAATACACAAGAGGTCATGCAAGTTGAGCTGAGAGAGGTTTCAAATACGCAAGAAGTCATACAAGTTGAGATGGAAGAGGTTTCAAATACACAAGAGGTCATACAAGTTGAGCAGGAAGAGGTTTCAAATACACAAGAGGTCATACAAGTAGAGCAGGAGGAGGTTTCAAATACACAAGAGGTCATACAAGTTGAGCAGGAAGAGGTTTCAAATACACAAGAGGTCATACAAATTGAGCAGGAAGAGGTTTCAAATACACAAGAGGTCATACAAGTTGAGCTTGAAGAAGTTTCAAATACACAAGAGGTCATACAAGTTGAGCAGGAAGAGGTTTCAAATACACAAGAGGTCATACAAGTTGAGCTTGAAGAAGTTTCAAATACACAAGAGGTCATACAAGTTGAGCAGGAAGAGGTTTCAAATACACAAGATGTCATACAAGTTGAGCAGGAAGAGGTTTCAAATACCCAAGAATTTGAGAAAGAAGATAAGCCAGGTAGGCGATCATTCGAGATAATATATGATAATGGTCATTTCTTTTGTCTGATATTTCAGAGATCTGTTTGAATATATGATAATGGTACTTTCTTTTGTCAGTGATCTGTTTGATATTTTCCCAAAATTGTTTATCAACCAATATCATAGCTTTATACTTCACCATCCAAAAGTACTGTTTTGAAATTTCAAGTTACATGATTTATTGTATTCAATTCCACATCGATAAGTAGCAGAAACATCTGATAGCAAATTTATATTCAACAAACACAAAGTTGATGAACAATTTCTAAATACACCTGTGTTTATGAAGTAAATGCATGTTAAATATGAAGAAAGGTTGAGACTAATCAAATTAATGTGAAGAAATTAAAGGACTCATAAACTATGTTTCATGAAAGTTATTTTGCACCTTACGAAATTGTTCTACTTCTTAACTAATTTCTTGGCTATTTGTTAATATAATTTGTGACATTTGTACAGTTTTCATATCATCGGATTTCATAATTCAGAAAATCCTGTTCTTGTTTTTTAATATTCATCGCTACTTTCGAAAAATAATCCAAGTTGAGATAAATAGTTGTCCTCTATAACCCAATATTTTATCAAAATCAGGGAGCATAAATGTAATGTTTTGTTCAAGAAAGGACTAACTCGACCAATGACAAAATGTCAACATTATATTTAATCAATTAACTATTAACACAGGTCCAAACAATTGTTTCAGCGTTGCAAGTTCAAGACAATGCAGAGCAAATGGCAGAACAGAACTGTAAGAAGAGACAACATGAAGATGAACAGCCCAATGATGAAGATGACGTAACATCTTCAAAGAAGCTAGCTAAAATTGGTAAGTAGTAAACAATTGAAACGTTTCTGAAACTTTTTATAAAGATCGTAGAAACAGATCCATATCTCACGGGTTTTGTCAAAATCAATTTGCCCTTAAAACATTTTTATCACTAGATTGTACCAAAAAAAGCTCGGTAAATAAAAATAGAACGGCATATCCCACGTTTAGCAGTATTTATTTTTGTTTGACGATCTAAGATCATCATTATCTGAAAAATCACATTCAAAGACACAACATATGTACCTTGACCAAATGGAGAACTTTTAAAATATATTCATACATTTTACTAATAGCACACATGTATAGACATAAATTAACCTAAACAACAACAAATCTATATCTTGCACTTGAGACTGTTTATTAATCGTGGCACTAACAATATGTGAAAAATATGAAAACACATAAACATTGCTATTATCCCGGAAAAGGATCAGATCTGATACCCTTTTATTCCCTAACTGTTTGGGCAGTGAGTTGCGGGTATAACTGATCGGCGGTACCCCTACTGATGCAAGTATTGTCTCCTTATTGGGAGCGGAAATTCCCTCGATCCGAAGGGGAATATACTGCTCACTGTTAATTGTTGTCGGCTACAAGTGTAACTTGGGAGGTAGGGGGAGTTAAGTCAGAGTACACGTGTTCCCCCATAAATGATGCTAACTTATATAAGCTTCCAAACATACAATTTCATAATGTTATGCACGTTACTGTATATTTGCATGCAGGCAATCAAATCTATATTACCTTACTTACAGATCCCTACCAACTGATAATATTTTACATCGAGAGAAAACACACAACCTATATAAAAACGTACCTACAGACAAAACATACAGTTGACTTCACAAGTCTCGGTGGACAAAGATGCATTTTAGAAGCAATCAAGAATGATGATCAAGAACAACTAGAAGTGTTTCTCAAACATACACCAAATGCCAAAAACGTGGTGTTTGACAGGTCAATGACATCAGATGATTCTGACTTAACAGCTTTAATGTATACTATAAAGTATTGCCGTATTGGTTGTCTGATAATACTTCTTAAGAATGGTGTTGATGTGAATGTGCAGAATAATAATGGTGATAGCGCTCTTATTGTTGCTGCTGCTACTGCTTCTAGGTATAGTAGTGGTGTTGAATGTCTGAGATTACTTATTGCGAGTGGTTCTGATGTGAATGTGCAGAATAGAAAAGGTGATAACGCTCTTATTGTTGCTGTTGCTGTTGTTTCTTGGGACAGTAATGGTGTTGAATGTCTGAAATTACTTATTGAGAGTGGTGTTGATGTGAATATGCAGAATAATAATGGTGATAATGCTCTTATTATTGTTGCTGCTGCTGCTGCTGCTGCTGATGATGATTCATGGTTTGGTTATTGTGTTGAATGTCTGAAATTACTTATTGAGAGTGGTGTTGATGTGAATGCGCAGAATAATAAGGGTGATAACGCTTTTATTGCTGCTGCAGCTGCTGCTACTACTGCTTCTTGTAGTTATGGTGTTGAATGTCTGAAATTACTTATTGAGAGTGGTGCTGATGTGAATGTGCGAAATAATAAGGGTAATGGCGCTTTCATTGTTGCTGCTGCTGCTGCTGCTTCTTGGGACAGTAATGGTGTACAATGTCTGAAATTACTTATTGAAAGTGGTGTTGATGTGAATATGCAGAATAATAATGGTGATAACGCTATTATTGTTGCTGCTGATGCTGCTGCTACTTCTTGGAACAGTAATGGTGTTGAATGTCTGAAATTACTTATTGAAAGTGGTGTTGATGTGAATGTGCAGAATAATAATGGTGATAACGCTCTTATTGTTGCTGCTGCTGCTTCTTTGGACAGTGATGGTGTACAATGTCTGAAATTACTTATTGAAAGTGGTGTTGATGTGAATGTGCAGAATAATAATGGTGATAACGCTATTATTGTTGCTGCTGATGCTGCTGCTACTTCTTGGAACAGTAATGGTGTTGAATGTCTGAAATTACTTATTGAAAGTGGTGTTGATGTGAATGTGCAGAATAATAATGGTGATAACGCTCTTATTGTTGTTGCTGTTGCTTCTTGGGACATTAATGGTTTTCAATGTCTGAAATTACTTATTGCAAGTGGTGCTGATGTGAATGCGCGGAATAATAATGGTGATAACGCTCTTATTGTTGCTGCTCCTGCTGCTGCTGCTTCTTGGGACAGTTATGGTGTTGAATGTATGAAATTACTTATTGAAAGTGGTGTTGATGTGAATGTGCAGAATAATAATGGTGATAACGCTCTTATTGTCGCTGCTGCTGCTGCTGCTGCTGCTTCAATGAGAAGTTTTGGTGTTGAATGTCTTAGATTACTTATTGAGAGTGGTGTTAATGTGAATGCGCAGAATAATAATGGCGATAACGCTTTAATTGTTGCTGCTTCTTCGAGTAGTTATGGTGTTGAATGCCTTAGATTACTTATTGAGAGTGGTGTTGATGTGAATGTGCAGAATAATAATGGTGATAGCGCTCTTATTGTTGCTGCTGCTGCTGCTTCTTGGTATGATTATGGTGTTGAATGTCTGAAATTACTTATTGAAAGTGGTGTTGATGTGAATGTGCAGAATAATAATGGTGATAGCGCTTTTATTGTTGTTGCTGCTGCTGCTGCTGCTGCTGCTTCTTTGGACAGTGATGGTGTTGAATGTCTGAAATTACTTATTGAGAGTGGTGTTGATGTGAATGTGCAGAATAATAAAGGTGATAACGCTTTAATTGCTGCTGCTGCTGCTGCTGCTGCTAGTGTCTGGACACCCTTTTATTTGGAATGCCTGGTAGTGCTTATTAAGAATGGTGTCGAGGTCAATATATCAAATTATATTGATGAGACAGCGTTATCCATTGCAGTTGCGAATTACAATCCTAAAATGATAGAAATATTACTCGATCACAATGCGGATGTAAATATAAACAAGCAGGCAACATGGGATTTAGTGTTTCAGGAATGCAAGGAACATTTATTGGAATCAGAAACCCCTTTAATGGCATTTCTTAAACATGCCAAATACAGTGATATAGTGAAAAAATACATTGAGTTAGATAGAGAACTCTCTTCTCCCGACGAACATGGTAAAACGGCTCTAATGTATGCTTGTTGGTTTGATCAATGCTTTGCTGTTAAAATGCTAGTGGAAGCAGGTGTAAATGTTAATGTCCACGATGAAGATAGAACCACAGCCCTAATGTTTGCATGTATGAATGGTTGCGTTACATGTTGCTCAATATTACTGCATGCAGGAGCTCACATCAATGCAAGAGAGAAACATGGTAAAACAGCACTCTTTCTGACTAAAATAAAACCAGGGTTATCGACATTGGATATCTACGAAGAGTTGTTGATTCATGGTGCTCATTTTGGACTTGAAAACATAAGTCCAGTGTTAAAAGAAAAGTTCATGGAAAGCATCGAAACGTTTCCCTGTACAATACTGAGTATTATCCATGACATGCTCTTGAGATTTGAATATGTTGGGTGTAGCCAAGACATCATGTTTAGAGTCAAACGTTCTCAGCCTGAAACAAGTTCATTGTATACAGGTTGTATTAGAACAAGTTCCGAAGTTCAAGCAACATGGTTGCGTAAATACTCAGCACTAGCAGCTAGATCATGCGTCAAATATATCGGAGACATCGACAAGTTTCCAACAGCAAGAAAATTAAAAGTTTACATCAGCTGTATGGGGTGTAAATATCTGTTTAAACGAGCGGAAGCGTTATTTCCATCTTCTGATGACAAATCTGTCAGGGACAATGTTGACGACATGTATAGTGATGATACATTGAGTGCTCAGGGTGATATGGATTACAATGATGACATGCATAGTAATGATGAGTGGTCTGAGTCAGGCGGTAATGAAAATGACACAGGTGACAGTACGTATCAAGATGGAGACACGTCCCAGGGTATGGAACATATGAGCTTTCATGACAATGATTCTAATAGTGATGAAAACGATACAGACGAAGACATGAACTTGCCACAATATGTAGTTGTCCCTGGTGCGAGTGACTGTAGTGAATTTGATGATATGGAAAGTGTAGAGGATGGATGGCATTTGGAAGATGACTAATTTAAACGAAGTTATGTCGCATGTGATATATCTCGCATGTTTTGTATGTTTGTTATGGAAATATATGAAATGCCATGGAGATATGAGTATGATTAAGTCTGTCATTCAGAAGCAACGAGCTATTAGTGTGTGTAAAAAATAATTTGCAGCCATAAGTAAAAAGGTTTATGTTCGTTGAATCTGTATATGGTTGATATAATACACAATGCAATTTTAAAGACTATAAGTTCAACTGGTATTGCCATTTGGTTAAAGGTTAGTTGAACCTTTGCAAGGCTTTTCCGGGGTGCAATTATGTAGATGTACTCCCATTTTTAAGAACATGTCAATAAGTATTTTATTATATATTTTGACTTTTCTATATACATGTTTTATCATATTTCGAAATAATTTTACAAAACATTGTTTTTAAATAAAACGAAAATGATAATATACGAGAATTGTTTTTTGTTATTTGACATGAGTTTTCAGAAAACAAGTGATTCAACATCTACAAGGGTTGATCAAAAAGTAAGATGACAGCATCTAACATTTCATCAGTTTTTGCCAGCTGTCATAATATTCTAAAAAATGTGCATTACATATTTATACATTATTCCGGTATCGGGAAAATTGTGTAGGTGGTGCAATTCTATATTCCAAAATATATCAGTTGTACACAAAGTGTGTGTCTCAAATTGACAGTTGAAAACAATTGTTTTAATTCAGTAACCCCACAGGCCAAACGTTACATGTACTTCACGATGAAGTGTATATATTTTTTATATATCGAAAATGACCATGAAATAATTTTACTTCATAATCAAACAAAAGAGCTAAAAAGTTCTCGTTTTTTACTAAAAGCTAGAATACACATTGCCTTTCATTGTTATGGTATAGGAGATTAGGGGAGAATCTAAAAATTTTGTCAAGACTGCAAAATACCAACACTCATATATCTAATATGTATGAAAAATATCAAGCAAAAGTATTCAAATGTAGTGTCAGGGTTCGAGAAACTTGAAAAAACATTGCTTTGGCCTAGATTTTGACCATGACCTAGATAAAAATTCCCTCCCTGCCTAGTTCAGCCAATGTCTCTAGTTAAAGCATATAAAAGCTAACTCAGACCTTGATCGATGGAAGAGCAAAAGTGGAAGGGGATAAATAAATTAAGAATATCCATAAAACTATAGGAGCCCCCCCCCCTGCCGGATGCTCCTTACAATTCAAACAAACTTTAGAAATGGATAATTGTTCAGTTTTCATAGGGTGTTATATATAGGCACGCCTTAGCTCTAGAGGATAAAATGAATTCCCTATTCGTATCACCCCAATATTTAGTTGAGAAATTTATTTCAATTTTAGGTCACAATTCTTACTGAAACGCTCTATCAAATGTTATCGTTAAATATTGCTTTTATTGTACGAAGGAACTGCTTTTTGTTCAAATGATATATGTAGCTAATAAAAGAAAATATTTTCTAGCGAAGGTACAATTGATTCCTATGACCACCACTTTTTGCATCGCCCTTTAAATTGCTAAAAGATTTCCTGCCGATAATGAGGTTATGATTTTTACAGAGACCGTCTATTATAATTAATCTTAAACAAATGTGGTTCGAATTTATATACGAGGAGGGTGAAAATGATGTTCTCATGATAGCCCTCTAATTTCTTCATAATTTTTATAGAATGTGCAGTAAACATGTTGAATGACAAACGTGCCTGTGGTTATGATGGTATATCTGCCGAACATGTAAAACATGGGGGCGTGGCACTCATCGATCTTTTAACTGCGCTGTTTAACTGTATGTTTATACGCGAGCATGTACCTAGTTGTATGAAAATAGGGGTTATGATAACACTTTACAAGGGGGCAATAAAGATATTTTAGATGGGGATAACCATCGTGGCATAACTTTGATGTGTACATTTTGTAAGATTTTAGATAGGCTTATTTTAAATCGTGGCAAAAACTGTGGACCGATTGAAAGATCAATTGAAAGGTCAAAACTTCAATACGCTGCACATATAGGCTCATCGTGTTTAGATACATCTCTTGTTCTAAGAAAGACAGTGGCGCATCAGTTAGAAAATGGTTCTGATGTTTATGTTTTAGCAATTGACGTCAAATTGTGGAAAATGATACTTGAAACTTATATAGGATATCGTTGCTGTGTAAAACTAAATGGTATTATGAGTGATATGTTTTATGTAAATCAGGGGGTCCATCAAGGTGGGGTCCTATCTGTGGAGCTGTATGTAAGGTTTATGAACCCATTATTAATAGAACTGCAGAATTCTGGATATGGCTGTAAAGTCATGGGTATTGATTGTGTAGCCCCTTCATATGCAGATGATACGATAATGATATCCTTGTTCAGACATAATATGCAGGAAATGTTACACATTCTCTATAACTATGCAAATAGATGGCGTTTTGAGATCCATCCAGGGAAATGTACAGCAGTTCACTTTACTACGAGCAAGGTCAAAGATAACAAACCCTTTGAATATGGATCTAGTAAAATACCTATAAGTAGAGATTTAGTTCACCTTGGTTTACCCGTAACACAACGGGATATAGGGTATCATATAGAGAATGTAACGTCTAAAGCAAGACGCAATTTTTATACAACCTTAGATTGTATTACTCCAGAAAACTGCTGTGTTAATCCCTTACCGGCCTCAAAGTTGTACTGGGCAGTATCAATACCTACAATGCTTTATGGGGCTGAAGTTCTAACTTATAAACCATCTAATATTTTAACATTGGAAAGGGTACATTTACAGTCTGCGAAGTCAATTCAATCCCTACCAAAACAGACAACCAATTGTGCTTCCCTTGCACAACTTTGATAGGCAGACATAAGTGAGATATTTGCAATAAAAAAGCTAATGTACTTCCTGCACATATTTAATACAGATGCTGGTAACTGCAAAGAACTATGTATTTTTCGATGGTACTCTATATTGTACAGTTTCTTTGTCCAACCGTCCATATGTTCCCCAATAAGGGAAATTGTAAAACTAGGAATCCAGTATGATTTATTAGGTAGAATGCGAGGCTATATCACAAGTGGCGTCTTTCCATCAAAATATCACTGGAAGAAGAAAATCAAAAAAACTCTGTTCTTAATTTTTCGACTCATAAATGGCATATAAGATGTTTAACATACAACAAAATTAAGCTATACCGAGCCGTGGTCACTATCAGATCACCTATTATATGGTACCAATTGTGCAAATATAAGCCAGAAATGATATATAAATGCAAGTTGATGATACGTCTCCTAGTAGGTGAAGGTGTTGGGCGTTACACAGAACCACATGTAAATAGAGTTTGTCCAATGTGCAACTCACCTGACACCTTGACTCATTTTATAAAAGAATGTGAAATGATTGAACATTTAAGGGGTCCGATTCGACCATATTTATTGGAAAATCGGGAAATTATGTCAGCTTTGTTTGCACCCAGTTGTTTTGATGATTGTGTCCTGATTGCAAGGACGATATATCAGATGTACCAAGAGAGAATTAAGTCTCTCACCCTGTAAATAATCAACACTAAATGTGCATATATTATTTTAACTTTCTTACATCACATTGTATTAAATAATTATGTATGATGATCAGAATTGGTCGCAATAAAGAAATATATATATATAACAAAAACTGTCGAATTAATCCATCAAAAGAATATTTAATATAACAGAAATATAAGACAAGAAATGATTGTCATGATAAATTGAAATCAAGGCATCTGGTGCAAATTGAAAGACTGGCTAACTTAGCCCCTATTAACCTTGTTTAAATACACAAATCTGAGCAAAGGATTTGACAAACTTAAAGCCACATTCAGACATTCTACCTATATTTTAAGACCCTAAAAGCAATAAATATGACACTGCACTATAAGAAATGAGATTAAGAAAATATATTGTGGCTCAGAAATTAAGAAAATGATTTGCCATAGCCGGGATTTGAACCTACAAAAGCTTGGTTACAAGCCTGGGACTCTGGGGTTCATTTCAATGTGTATTTTTTAATATGCATTGTGGATTTTAGAAAAGAGATTTTCCACTACACAAAAATTATTAAAAAATAGTCAATAATCATGCTAATATTATTAGGATACATATCTGAATAGATATCTGTAAGCCAAATTCAGAATTGATGTAAGTTTTCATTTTGAGAATCTATTTCCTGTCATCACAGTCAAAAAACAAGGCCTCCAGAAAAAATTCTTCCTTCCAATTTTCAAAATTCACGGATCAGCTATTTTGGCACCCAAACCCATACTAATAGAAAGATAAGACTATTTTCTTGAAAAGTATTTCTTGAAATCCCCAATTTCAGCTTCTAAAGTCTGAGAAAGCCACTTTAACATAACTTATCAGTATAAATTCTGTTTTTCTGAAGACCTCTGCTGGATCTATTGCATTCCCTTATAACCAGTAATTTAATTTAAAGAGATCGGGTCTCCTAAAAACACAATTTGAGTAACCCCCTTGATTTTTTCGTGTTATTTGATGTAAAACAAGTTTTTGTTAATCAACTTATCAATTCTAAGGCTTGAATTAATTCGTTAACTGTATCAATTCGATGATTGTTCCTAGCCATGAATTTCCACTTACATCAATAGAAATTGAATTTGAATTTAAAAAGCCCGCTCAAATTTGTTCCAGTCTGATTGGCCTTTTCCTTCAGATTATTTTGGCTTAGAGAAGCCATATTTATTACTTTTAAGGGGTTACAATATAGATAAATCCCCCGAAAAACATTGTATTCTGTTTTCGACTTATTGCGTTCAATTCTGACAGTTGGTTGTTCTTTTGGTTGTCCTGTTGATATCCTCAATATATTGTCGATATCGTGCTTATGATTGGTCTCAAGATATATCTAAGGTATGTTTTATGAGCAATTATATTGGGACATTACTGATTGTCCAGAATAGAAATCTGGACGACTTGATCTCTTTAATTTTGAGTCTCAGAATCTGCTATCACGTCTAATGAAGCATCCCTTATGGAATCACAAAATCCACATGATCAATTTCCTTAATTCTAAAATAACTTAAAAACATATAAAAGTTCACATTTTAATGTGTTTGATAATCTATTAGATCTATTGTGTATGTGAACAAGGTAAATAAGGACCATTCCCTCGATTTATTTTATTTGCCTCGGGTGCCTTGATTTCCAATTACTATGGCAACAATGAATTATTTGACACTTCTTCGATTAATGCCATTCTTTCTATTAATAATTAAGTAATATAAACGTATATAAACAATAATAAGGTTGAGAAATATAATTACAATAGACTATATTTTAGTATAGAAAATGAAAAAACTCGGTCGGTGAATCATATGTTTATACTATATACATACGAGTATTTCTGTTTTTAAGGATATTGCAATATTTGAAACTATATTGACTTTTAAACAATATGTATTTATTTTATATTTTTTTTATTCAATGGAGTTGAGCTGTTGAAAAACTTCAAACAATGATTAAAAACTATCTATTTACTTTTAAAATTTGTAATAATTGTATGGTATACTATACTTATACAAATATATCATGTATAATGTTTGTGTGAGCTGCAACAAAAAGGTTAAAGTACATGATCAAAGTTTGGTATTATCTGTAATGTTTAAAGGGTTGTCATAACAACGTATGCTGTGCTCATTTTCGTCATTCGCTCCTCTCTCCAGATCAACTTTAGTGAACTGATTCAAAATGTCCAATTTTCTTGCCAAGAGTCTCTTCGTGAACATCATTTTTGTAGCGCAGGAGATTACAACTGTGGACAAGATGGTAACGATTACACTCAGACTTCTCACGGGAAATATATCATCTCTGTTGTCATATGGTGGATAAGGAATGAAAGCGAGTAGATTTAACGAAGGAATTCCCTTTCCGAAGAGAAGTACTAATCCCAAAGCAGAGCCTAATAAGGCACCGTACCCGTTGGCAACTTCAATGTACATACTACATAAAAGTTGGGGAAATATAACCACAATGGTAATCTCTGAACATACATAATACAATCCAATGACAGTGTTTTCTCCATATATTGAAATTATCGACGAGACAACACCCAATACAAACATCGTTATTCGCCGTACCCACATTATTTCCCGCGCTGATGCCTGAAACAAGCATATTAATATTAATTTTGAGAAAATGTTCTTTGGTCTAAAAGAAAAAGTTCGCCAAGAGCTAACTGATGATTAAATACGTCATTTTCAAATATAGTGAACTTGTCAGTTAGATTACTGATTTTTCTGAGTACTTAATTACATAATTCTGTACTAATGAATTCATATTTGGTAAAACATTGGTACCTTTTTATGAATGATAACTACATAGACGTTTTGTGTAAACATCCCACTGGATCCCAATATCATGGACTCTATCGATGACATCACTGCAGCCACCAAGGAGCATAAGGCTTTGGGTACAAAACAAAGCATTATTCAATTAAGGTATGACGATAGTGCTGGACACAATACAGTTTACCCTAATTTAAAATTGAAACATTCGTCCCTTGTAGTCTTAAGACCCCTTACCTAATGTTGCAAAACGTTGTTTTTGAGGGTCTTAATATTGGAGTACAGTAAGTATAATAGTACGAGTTATTTCAGAATAACATTCTATTAAGTTATAATTTTCAGGTTTACTTTGAAGTGTAAAAAGTCTTTTTCACCTATGACTGCAACGGGTCTAGGGGTGAGATGGTACACCACCAAAGGCAGTATCATACTTGTCTTGTTTCCTTGTATAGGATCTTCACCATAACTTGTATTGTTCCAGTCTATACAGAGAACATTTGTGTCATGTTATTTGGGGTTTTGGATACGAGGTATATTCTAAAGAGAAAAAAGATAGCCTACCGAGGATCAGACTTGTCCGAGGTAAGATATTTTATTTCCAAGATGTATGATTAATTAGTGTTAAAAACAATAAAATGATTTTGATTTACAAATATTCGTTTATTGTTAAAACATCTTCAGGTAAACTGAAACAAAGATATCACAGTCTACTTGGTATATGTAGCTGCTCCCAGGGATATAGGAATAGTTTTCTGCAAAAATCATATATAGGGGTCTATTAATTACATATTAATTAATTATTAAAGTCAAGAAGGTCATGAGGGACACGTTTACTATATCTTTTTTCTTTATTGCACTTATATATGCTGATACAACCCAGGTCTGTAGCCGGGGGGGGGGGGGTTCGCAGGGTATGGGCCGAAAATTCTTTCAAAATCATGCAGTTTTTCACCATTTTGAGTACTCCTCAAGTGATTTTAGCCATATTTGGGCCAAAATTGTCAAATGTGAACCCCCCTGGAAATTTGTGAAAACTGACCCCCCCCCCTTGTCAAATCCTGGCTACAGGACTGCAGTCAGTTAAGATTACTTGGATTATATTTACTTATCATGTGATTGCATTTTAATTACAACATGTTTGATGTAACGGTCAAAATACATGAAGACATCGTTAATTAAAAAACCCAGATTTGTCAATATCTTTTTAAAACCCCTAACGTAATTAGACAATGATTATCTTTAATTAGAAAGTAGATAAACTATATATCAATAATATTCCTATAAAACAAGTTGCAAATATACAATAATAATTATTAGGTAAATAAAGAATCTTGAGACGTATGGTCAGTTTTTGCTAGGGGATACTTTGTAGGAACTCCCGCTAGTGCACTAAGCTAAGCTAGCTAAACTTTACGATTAACGTATAATAACTAAAATTGTAGCAGTTGTTATTTCCATAATTAAATTCTGTAATTCATGTTTTACCTGTATATTGTGATATCTGTTTCAGTTTACCCAAAGAAGTTTAAGCAATAAAACGAAACCGTCGCAAGTCCTATAACGCCAATAGTAATTGGAGCTACACCAATAATAGTATAGAGGCTTCCTCCAACAACTCCCATTATCTTTGCATCTCCAACCGATTTGGTCGATGAATGCTACTCCGTCATGATACACCTCCAACTATCTGTAAACAAAGGGTGTATTACCCGTCGCAAGTCCTATAACACCAATAGTAATTGGAGCTACACCAATTATAGTAAAGAGACTTCCTCCAACAAGCCCCATTATCTTTGCATCTCTAACCGATTTTGCTGACAAGAACCGTTGAATGCTACTATGCCATGGTATACTTCCGATTACCTATAAACATTAACACAGAATTGGGAAAAACAATTTAAATCGATCCAATCTGTGTAAAATATAGTTGTATCAGTGAGTTAATACATTTGTTCCCAAAATAAATAATGTCATAGCGAAACATCAGGAATTCTTGATTTGATAAATGCAACAGCTTGAGATAAAGAAAATAAAAACTATGAATATCGAATACTAATAGAAATATGATTCATTGTAAAAACTAACCAACCAATAAATATGTACCAACATAAATTAGTTGAACTTGTTTTGGTCATGTAATCCTCTGTGTTGTTTGGATATGTTGAAAATACCAATGTGTGAAGTTTCAAGGACCACCTTCTCTCTCTTCAAAAAGTTAGGACATTATTGATTTGGTAGCTCAGAGCTCATAGACAAGAACTGTGTCTCAACAGAGCTAGGATATGCCTGATTCTAATATCTCAATTGAATACACACATATTTGATGTTATGTTAAAATTGTACTGGTGTCAGTCTTTCAAACATTATTTATTCAGCTGCCCATTAAGAAAACATTATTCACGAGGTTAAACAATTTTTTTAAATATAATTATCTAAAACTCACACTAAATTGAATTATTATCACTATCATTTTCTAAAATAATGTTGGATTTTACTCACTACAGACAGAGACTTGCATATATAAACCCCGTTTAACTCCGTTTTTTCTTCAGTCAAGGGAAATAATGGTACAGTTTGACTGATTATATGCACATTGACTTTTGTAAGAATGTTCATGGGTTGGTAAGAAAAATCAGCATCGAGAAAACAAAACTTCAAAAATTTAAATGAAATGTCTTTACTTATATTACTAACATTTTGCAAGGTCCAAAATTGACAGTTTAAACGTCCTTCCAAGTTTGGTCTACATGTTTGAAAGCTTGACTCAAGAAAACCCGTGTCTACTGAAATTCTTTTATAAGATTTTGACATCCGCCTCCACTAGCATAACATGCAAATATTAAGTTCATTATATAAGGAGTCCTTGAATATTACCCATAGTACTACAACAAGATCTATGTACGATGCAATCTGTATCGGTTCGATTGTGCCAAGCCATCTATCTGGTGTTTCACTGAGTGACGTCAGGTCGACATTTTCATTTGTTGCAGCGAATGGTATTGCTATCGCCTGTAATAATGAACAAATATCAAATATCAACCTAAAGAGTCTAAGGGTAACTATGGAAACCCACAATATGCCCATAAAACAACATATAATTTGGAACCTCAATAAAATTCTGATAAGGAAATTATCCTTTGAGATATTTTAATTGGTGTACGTCGACATGCTGTACTGTTACATTGATGTAACTTTTTATGTTTTCAAATATCTTACTAATCTGTCTAGTGTGCATTGTTGAGAATTGTAGAGAATTGTTGTATATATACTGGTGTACTGTGAACGTTACAGGACTTTCCTCCAACAGTAAGATAGTACTCAGTTGAGCCTCAAAAAAGTCTCAAAATGACCAATTTAAAATGTGAATATTGCTCCTTAGTCAATTGCTTGCGCACCAACTTGTCACACATAAATGTCACATAAACGAACCACGTAAGGCTCCATCCAGAACCACCTTCCTGTTAGAGAACATTCTCGTAACTCTCACAGTACATTAGGCCAATACTCAACAATATACAGAAGAAAAGTTAGTCAGAAATATAAAAAATTAAAAAGGTTACGGCATTTTTATCAGTAGTTCAATGACCTATACATATAAGTGGACAAATAATCTATTTTCTGAGGCTTTTGATGTTGAGTGCTTGATTATGCCACCACCGAAAAGTGGCAAAATATTGTTATAGTCTCCATTTTTGTGATGGCGGTTGGCGATTGGCGTCTGTAACGAATTCTAACAACTTCAAATAACTTTAACAAATACTGTTTAGACTGACTTTATCTTTTTTCAAAATCATCTACAACTTATCAGAAATTCAAATCTTACTTTGAATTTAAGATTTGACCTTCAATGAATTTCTCAAGTTCAAAAACGGTTAAAAAGGTCAAAACCTTTTAACGTGCTTCAAATTAGCCAACATTTTCTCAAAATCACTTGTGATTTCTCAAAAGTTAAGATCTGACTTTAGCTTTGAGATTTCATCTTCTTCTCAAGATCAAAATAAGGTAAGTAAGGTATATTTTCAACTTGCTTCAAATTGACCATTTTCCATAATCATCTTAAAAATTCAAATCTGACTTCATATCTGAAATTTGACCTTTAATGATCTCTCAAATTTAAAAATAGTTGACCTTCAATGACCTTTCTCAGGTTAAATTGGTATTTTTTCAAGTTTTTGAAATTCAAATCTGAATTTAGATTGAACTCATAATATCATGGGCACATAGATGGTGACATTTTGTTATGTTAATGCCTTGTTTTATTATGTCACGAAACGAACTCCATACCAAACCAATGACTATGAAAGCCAACTCTAGGACATTTGTATATACAACAGCTATCATCTGTCCTATCATAGTGTATAGTGCGGCGATCACGGCAGATACAACCACAGACAACACAAAATCCAATCCAATTAATACATTAAGGCTTGTACCTAATCAAGGAAAATGAGAATTAAATAAATAGAGGATATCCTATGATTTATGAGTGATATGATTTTTATCCACGAATGGATATGATCTGCATGAGCGAGCATAGCGAGAGAGTGCAGATAGCAATATCCATGAGTGGATTAAAATCATATCACGAGTAAATCATAGGATGTCCTTTTTATTCCATAGTTAAAGTCGTCATCAGAATCGTCGGAAATTAAGTCATTTAATTCGAATTTTCCAAACGACCCGGCGATGTTGACGCTTAGCCTCGTTTTGAGTCTTAAGTAGCAAAAATCCATTATTCATAGCATACGGCGTTAAGTGAAAAGTTCTCAAAAATATCATATTTTACCACTAATTACAAAAATAGCGTTTTTATTTTGACATGTTATGCTATGAATATCATGCTAACTATGGAATAAAAAAGAAAATGTTTATATATAGTGAGATAATTTCATTGTATTTCTCTCCGACGTATCCAACTGAAAGTTTATGAAAGATACAGCAATAGTTGTTCCATATACTTTACATTCAAATGCTAACAAATAGCTCATGGATATAGTTGTATGTCAGGTATAAATTCCTTGAACAGGACTTCTTTTGATTTGAAAAATGCTCTAAATAATCTAATAGCGAATGACCCCCCCCCCCTCACACACACATCTATAGCCGATGCAAAAAAATAAATTACGTCCGGTTTCAAAAGGCGAGGAAACATGTATACATATACCCAATGCAGTTAATATAGCAGCAGACCACAGCGTGTTGACTAGAAGACTCGCAAGAAACAAGACGGCAGTCACTTCCTTTCCATATTTCTCATTTAATGGATCTAACATTGTCAAATATCTTCTCTTACGCATCTCTCCTCCGAAAGCAAACGATGCTATGGAAAATTATGATCGATTATATTTTATGTATCACTATCATTAGATCATCTAATTGTAAAATGATATAGAATTCAAAATTTAGCCATAGTCCTAACTTACAGATGAAAAGTGCCAGCGTTAACCCAACGGGCATTAACATCCAGATTACTCCATCCCTAGCCACAGATTCAGCATATCCATTCAAGAATCCGCCACCGATATAACTTGCTACAAGTACATCAAAGTTATATTAACCCTAATGTCTACGGGGAGCAATCAAATGATTACTACCTCCAGTGAATAAACGTATCAACCAAATTCGGCATAAGATGGCCTTTCAAAACGTAACTTTCCCTTAAAGAACATATTGTTAAAATAAATGGAATGTATTGAACGAACTAAAGTATGATAACATAATCCTGAACAGATAAACCAAATTCGTTCAAGATCAGAAAATTGGGATTCTTCAAGAGGAGTTCAAAATGTCTTAATTATCATTTTTCTGACACAAATATTAACAAACAGGTTTTTTTAATTAATTCTACACAAAATAATATGACTTAAATCTGGGCATTTTTGATGTTTTTACCAAGATCTTTAAAAAGAGTTTCCACACTTCAATTGGGGCACTTCTTGTTGCTTGTTACGTTACCAAAAGTCCTTTGTAAAATAAATCAGGAACTATCTATATTCCCACGGTTTCAAAGTATTAAAATCAGCACAACAGGACATGAAACGTAACGGAATGTCTTTAGAATTGATTTACGTCCATGGCCTAAACACGGTGTCCAACCCAAACGCTCTTACATGCATGACGGAGCGTTTCATTCACGCGAAAACGCTGCTGAGCAAAATAAAATGGCAGCTAATGAAGATCCCACTATCACCGTAAGTATTGTTTCACTCTTTTTCTTACATATCATACGTTATGGTGGCATACTATGTACCATTCGATGAACAATAACCTGAGCAAAGATCTTATTTATTCAACTTCTGGTGGTAAACTGTTATTTGCTTGATCAAAGCTCCGTAGTGTAGCTAGAACGAATCTGAAGTTGATGAATTGACCACAAATTCAGAATTGAACTAGTATTTATATGACATCTTCCTCTCATAGTAGTAGATCACAAACTTGTATATTCTCATTTTCCAAAAATCCCAGTCCAAATCCATTACTTCTCGAAGAATCGCTTGTTTTCCTCGAAACGCTCCGTCGATTTAGGACACAATTTTAGAGATGCTCTTACCATTTTGTTTTGACAATATTTTCAGATTATTAGAGAGGAGTTCGGAATCGAATCTATCTCTCTAAAACGTGTTGTACTTGTAAGGTAAAGTCTCAACCTGGTGGTGCTAAACGTGCAACTAGTATAGCCGACCCAAGCCTTCATTAGATGATGTTATGCCTACATATGTGCTAAAACATAAACTATTGACAAAAAACAAAAAGTTCATATGTGAATTAATCTTTCTTCTTTTGATGCCAAATGGTATAATAGATATTTTCTTTCTCTTCCTGAAAAGGAAAGTCAAGCTATATATTTCCTCAACAGATCTATACTACCTCAGCGTTTCCAGTTCACTGTGTTAACCAGGTCGCAGCATTTCTTGAATATGAGAATGTCATCATTTTTAAGACTGGATTTTCGGTCATCAAATCACAATTACGATAATGTGTGGTAAGTTGAAGCATTGAAATTTGACTAAAATATACGCTGGTGCTCTAATCTTGGCACAACTAATCACATGTCTCGACAATAAGGGTTTTTGCCAGTAGAATGATAACTACGTTTATGAATTTTGATAACTATACTGCTTCGTACAGCTCTTCCCAATTGCTTCTAACGTCAATAGCCAGCCAAGTACAAAATGAATATCACACCCATCGAATGGCACATTCGAAATAAGTAACTCATACCTCTTATTCTCATTATTGGGGAAATCGTCAGACGGTTCATCATTCCCGCCCGCCAGTTTTCCTACTCCGGAGCGTTTCTTTGTTTCAGTAATGAAACGCTCCGTCGTGCATGTAAGAGCGTTTGGGTTGGACACCGTGCTAAATAAACAGTAGACGATATACTATTATAATGGAGTGGGATTTAATGAACATATTAATTATTTCGAAGTCATGTTGTTTGCTTATAAACGAATGCTTTTGTGCAAAGCATGTAAAAAAAACTCTACATTGAACTGTAGATCTGTAATGTTCTTTGTATGCAGTAAAACGGTTGAAGAATGATATACTGACATTCTTTTTTCAAAATTACTTTTGGCCTTAAATTCGTCATATAGGCATTTAAAATGTTAACTGTTTGTGTGGCAATGATAAATTATTATAGAATATAACTAAGATGGTTGTGCATCATTTTATTAAATGTAATAAAGTTAAAGATATTTGGAATAATTTCAATTTGACAGATGAACAAATTTTAGGTCTTCAAACATGTTCTAATTATAAAGATGTTCTAATAGCCAGAAAAACAATCCAAATTTTCAACTGCCAGAACTATTTAGGTAATATTAAAAGCGAGTTTAACAAACAAAAGATATTAAATTTGTAAGACTGGTATGTTTATTTTGTATGATTGATGTTATTGTAATTGCATTGTATTGTTATTGTAAATAAATGTTATTTAAAATTACTAAGATGGTTGGTCATTGCTGATGTCACCCGACCTTTTGTGTGATTTTGAGTCAATGAAAGCATTCCGATGTTTAAAATTTGCGCCACTTTTAATCCACAGCATTATTCATTAACCACTTTTTACATATAGAATGTTATTGCAGAATCAAAAAGAGTTTTTGAAACAAATTAGAATTGGTTTCAAAATTATATACAGGACAATAAAGAACTATGAAATGCAGGTTTGCAATTACATTTAATTTCCAAAAACTTTAGTGACAACATGACATTTCAAATAGTAAATAGATATTCCAAAGTTGAGGCCAAATTATATGATAACACATTAATAGGTTTATTATACTTTGCAAATGCTTGGGAAGCGATAGCTGTGGAACATTACACAGAGTATCCTATAGGATATCCTATAGTGTAGATACATAAAATAATAATCCAAAACTATCACACCCATATTTGTTTTTAGCACTCTCCAATCGTATGGCGATCCTGAAAAAGAGAGTTAGACCCTTCTACCTGCTACCACTCTTTCCAAATGATGTATTGCAGGATGAACGATGTCATTTGTTCAACTTAACAGTTTGGATTTGAAGCTCTCGACCTCACCAACTGAGGCCATGATTTGAAGATGTGGAGTACTATAGTCTAAAACCTCACCTGCCATTGAAATGATACCGACTCCGAGATTCAGTTGTCTACCAGCTACTAACGATCGTTCTGTCTCGGAGGCCCCCTCCGTCTTAGAAAATTTTGCTGCAATTATTCCTACCCCCAGAATGATGAGGTAAAAGACCGCCAGAACAACTACTCCTGCTATATCAACCATATTTTATTATGTACATAATAAGGAGCCTACAATTGAATAGTGTTCACCCGGATAGTTAAATGTTGCTTAGACAGAAATCAAATGAATTGAACGTGTCTATTATAAGTGTATTAGCCTACTCAAGTCATTTAGTTGCACAAATTAGACTGCACAATGCAGTCACTGGTGTCTTATTTAAAGATGAACTGCATATACAGGGTCACCCATCATAAATTAAGCACGTGGCTTTCTCTTGGATACAAGACGGTCATAATGGAAATCAAGATAAGTAAAAGAGACCGACTTGGGCAAGGCTAGTGGCTTAGATTGTTTCATTTTTTTTATCTTTTCACTCTCATTGCTGGATCATGCTAGATATTTTCATTATGATAAGGGTGCCATTGTCATCATAAATTGTCCTAAAGGATGTTCAAAACTTTGCGCGAGATGCATTCAATTTAATCTGCATAAGCACTTGTTTAATTATTCATTATAAAACTATTTATAGTATTTTATTCAACTATAAAATTGATCAACTTTGATCAACGATTGATCATTTTAGTTTCACTAGAACCTTAAAATGTCCTTTGGTGCATTAGCGCAATATATTGCAAGTTATATTTAATTGCGTGTTCTGATTGGCTGTAATGGGACACAACTTACCTAGCATTAGCAATATGTGAAATTATTATGTTGCACTTGGATCTCAATATTTTAGTTTTATATGCAACACAGGAATCCCCTAGATGTTTTCAACTTGCATATGTTAATGCTACATTTCTTTTCGAATACCTCAACTCAACTGGCGCCAATATGAAAAAAGGTTCTCGTGAAATCAAATAAAAAACATCTACATCCATCACAGTTATCTAAACTGAAAGATCCATTTGAATTGATATAATAAATCATTATATGTTTTAGGTCACGATACTATTTTTACAAAACATGAAAGGCGACTTATCTCATATGCAGTTTCTTCAATAAAAAATATGTTGTTTTAAAATGAACATGCAGTTCCATTCAGTCATTCTAACATCGTTTGAATGAAGTAAATGTATAACATACGACAACAAACTGAATGAAAAACGATGCAAAAACAACATAAAATGACGCTAGGATTTGTTGATCAGTCTTACAGTTTTTTTCTGCTACGTTGTCACTGTGTTAGCTTTTTGACATAACACTGGGTCTAATTTATTCACAAAACAATGGCATTAAAATTGAAAATGAAAGGATGCTATTTAAAGTATAAAACGCTTGCTTGCTCAACCTTTAATTTAGGTGAACTTTTAACAGAAGTGAAAATAAACACAATTAACATATAGTGGAGGTAAATAAAATCTGAAAAAATTGATTCTTGATCCGTCATGATATTTCTGAAAAAATAAACTGGCAATTGATATTTCCATATTTTATTCGGCATTTGATATTATTTTTGTTCATTCGAACTCACCTCTAATTTTACTTATCGTTTTGTAGCTCCACGTTGGGTTTCTTTAAATTTTTTAGTCACCCTTCCCTTTTTCATTTGTGCTTATATATTCTATTAATCAGCATTCCAAAAGATAATAAAGAAAATTTTGAATGGTTAGTATAATTATGATAATTTTATTTTATCAGCTCTCCCATCATCAGCTTGGAATCCGTGCCATATGCCAGAGAACTTTTCTTGCAACAAGTCATTTGGCTGATTTGATTTCAGCAATCCTGAAATTTGCACCCGTTGTCTATGCATGGCGATACATTGTCAATTTACAAATAAGCAGTTGCAAAATCGTTAACCAATGATCAACGACATCCGTCACGTTTCACAAAAAGGTAATGGGCAGTAATTGCCAAAGAAAATATTAAAAATACGCTGCAATCGCTTATTTCTTTTATGCGTTGTCAACGTGCAATTGAGACAATTGTTTCATCTTTGGCAGCTTGATACACCTTTTTTATCCACTTCAATTATTTACCGTATATAACCAAGAGGCCCCGTGGGTAGGAATGTAAAATTCCGAAAAACATTCATCATTAAAAAATCATTTTTGGTCAACGTTTTTTAAGAAAATTACCCTTACAAAGATTACCATGTACGATGATAATAATATTCCCTGTAATTTAAGTTAATAATTATGTACTTCGAGACCTTGTTTTATCAGCTTACTTGTATATCGGAATATGGATATAGGCTACCGTCCAATGTTTAAATTAAATAGACCTAGAAATTCTTACTTATTGGTAAACATGGATCCAGTTCAAGCCTAAATAAGGGAAACAAGTCAATGGCATTGTTGACATCCAAAACTGCCTGCCATGCGAACTTGCACGCGTCATTAAAAATAGAACTGAGCTAAACATAAGATTTCCTATTAGAATAGTAGCTTGTTTTTCCGGGTCATCATTTATTGAATGTGCAGTGCTGATGTCAGATGATGTAGCGATGGCTACAGGCCGAGTACTGTAATCAAGTGTTGATATTATCAGTTACTCCAAACGAGGTCAATAGTTCAATGTAAAGAATAATTATCACGCAAAAAT